CGGATCCGGAGAGGGGAACACTTTGTAAGGTTCTTAGTTGTAGAGAGACATCATTGACCAATGTTTGGCTCCCATCATCTGAATCTAAGTGGCAGAGCACCTGCATCACTTCTTAGACTCCGCTTATTCACTTCAGCTTAAGGTGAAAATATTGCATATCATTTTCGTCAGTAATAAGTAAAAGGTGAGTTATGGCGAGCAAAACGATGCGACGTGCATCAGGCACTGCAGGTGCTGAAAAATCATGGAGCTGTGGCAGGCTAAAATGCCCGCCCTGAGAAATTCAAAACAAAAGCTGGTGCTATGCTCGGTGAAATCTTGTCTTGGAGCATTTATGGGTTATACGTATCGTTGTTCTTTAAACTCCATGCGTAGCAACACGGCAAGCGCCTATATTCCAAAAACGACTACTCAAGTTTAGACTCTGTATTTTTCCTGACGCGATTTGTTTCTAGATTTCTTTCGACAGGTATGATACGAACAACTGGCGACGGTGTCGTCATGATTTGGACAGTTTTTGTTCTCTGGATTAAAATCTATGCAAAGATAGTAGGACTCGGTTCAAGAGACGCTTTAGATGTGATTTTAAGGAACACGAACAAGATCGTGTTTCAGGGGTACGGTGCAAACGTGATACGGTAGCAGACGGGGCGTTTGGCAGTCCGGCTTCATGAGTCAACAGACGAAACGGTGCTGCTACGTCGTAATCATAACTGACGTTCGACCACTGTTGGAAACTTTCATATTCATGAGTCGATGAAATGTTAGATTACGACGAGATCAGATTTGCCTTCGTTTTTGCAACCACAGCTGCGCAATCAGATCTGATAACCTTTAGATGCCGTGCTTGGCATCATGCTTCACGTGTGTGCAAAGTCATGTCGAAGAACGAAAGAACGTCGGCAACGTTATTGCATGGTTTAGGCATGAAAACCGACAGGCGTATGACATGACGCGTATGATTTGCCCATCCGGCAGGTCTCATTGCCAGCACAAGCAAAATCACATGACCAACGGCTCGTACGGTCGTACATGGACCGATTGGACCGAAACCAACGGAACCTCGTCGCCATCGAGACTTCGGTCACTCGTACACCTCCCTGTTGTCCATGACAATTTGCAGAAATTTGGCACTGAGTGACCAAGGCAAAGTACAAGCAAGTTTTTGCCGAATGATTACTCTTTTCTCAGACCAAATGAAAGCTTGGACGATCCTTCACTTTGACTCACGCTCACAGAGGCGAAATGCTTAAATTGGTCAGCTTTTCTCCGTTTTTCAGCAGATCAGCTGTGCCAGATGGATTCCTCGCAATTCTTGACTCATGGACCTTTAAGAAAAAGAGCGGTTGTAGCATCCAAGTTAAGTACTGAGGCAGTCAGGACTAACAGGCGCCCTCCCGGTACTACTCTAATGCTCGCCACTGCAATATCTTGTACGTGCTAAAGGTGCAGTATACAGCTGGATATTTTCAACTGCGCCTTTTCTCCTGAATTAGACCATCCTCCTTTCAACGAGCAACGCTATTTCAGAGAGACGAAACGTAAGAACAAGGCGGAGTGTCGGGCGGAAGTATATCTCACTTCTGAACTTCACAGTTAAACATGAAGCATTTCAGAATTAGTGTCAAAGCAGAATGAGGTCAGCTTTAGGTGTGAACATTTGTGGATAGCCACGTTTTAATCTACACAATAGCACTTTCCAGTCCTAAAGATATAATTTTCCATTCGCTGTAGCATCTAGATTTCCGTGAGGCATATGATTCCCTATATAGAGATGCGGCGTAGAGTACGATTCGTGCGTGGCATGGCATTCCTGCAAGACAATATCCATACTGCTTTACATTAAACTACAGTAAACAGTGCAGCAATGTCCCAACAGTTAATGGCAATGGCTTCAAAGGAACGAGGAGATATACTTGATGTAGTACGAAAGATTGGCCGTATCTGTTACGTCCTGAGTGTAGCTCGAGGCACGTTGCCAACTCTCTCTAAAGCTGAGGATGTGCCAACTGTGTGACTTTTCTGAGCGAAGCAGCCATAAGATTGCAGAACATGTTAGAGCATTGGTCTGGGGCAGAGAAAACCTGCTGACTAAAACTAAACACGAATACATCTGTCGTAATGCGCTGTTGAGTAAGTGGAAGTCAGGCCGCAGTAAGGCGACACGGAAGGTAAACATTTTCTTGTGGGTTATGCCGACAACGGAGGACAGCGTTCAGGTACTTACAGGAAGAACAAGAATTGCTTCTGACCGTTTGGCAAATTTCTGACAATACGTTGGGCAACGAATGCGAAGCTTAAACGGCTGGCCATTCAGCCACCTTCTTTGCATGTCTTTCAAAAATGCTGTTTTTGCTGAAACAGCGTCATGGCCGACTTGGCACCTTGCGACAACGTCACATATGAGGCGTCTTGAAAATCAGCTTGCCATAAAAAACGAATAATGATAAGCATATATGAATATATGAAAAAATATGTGAAGAATAATACAATGCACAAAGTTGCAGTACGTAACCGAAGCCATCTGGCAAATAGGCATTGGCTGGCTTAA